TATATATATATTTAATTTAATTTCATATAGATGTTAATTTTAATTTCTAATTTAAATTTTATCTTAAATTAATTTTAAGATTATATTTTATTTAAACTTTAGTTTTAAATTTAGGTTATTTAAGCTGTATTTGATTTAATTTATTTTTAAAATTTTATCTTATTTTTAGGTTTAGTTCATTTTAATTTATTTTATTTTTGAGTTCCAATTTGAGTTTTAGTTTCAATTTTTATATTAAGTTTTAATTTAAAATTTGATTAAGTTTATTTTAAGTTTTGTTTAATTTATTTTAGTTGAACACACACACACACATCAATGATAATAAAACGCTATACATAACAAAAACTTGGAGCACACCATAATATGATTGCTGCTTTCACGAAAGATGAGCTCCAGAATTTCAGGGACGTCACGAAGATTACTATGCTACTGCGGGCTAGAGACTTCCTTTCTGAGGTCATGTCAACCCCATAGCTACGGTCGACAGTTTTATAGATGCTCGCAGTGTCTTGTAGAAAAGTGTGACTTCTTCTGATATACTGACGGTCAGGTTGATTCCACTGCTTATAGTGATCGTGAATTATTAACATTATTGAAGGACAGTTTAAGGCATGACATACATCGTCTTCATGTTAAAAATAATATCATTATTATTTTACTTGTAATGTTATTAGTTTTTAATTAGTTTGTTATTCCGGTACTCACTGTTAAGTAAGTTGTATATCTGAACTTCTATTATGTTTTGAAATGAATTTGTGCTTCTGAAGTATCAAATATGTGGTAGTTACAGTTATATTTTAAACAACTTTACTAAACATGGACATAATGATTATTTTTTCAGAAACAACTACTTCATAACTGTTTTCACACAGCTGCAACAAGCATAATGATTATTTTTTCAGAAACTACTTCATAACTGTTTTCACACAGCTGCAACAAACAGGCAGCCAACTTCGTTACAACAGCTTCCCCGCAGCAGCTTCCTAAAACAACGCAACTGCCCCAAACAGACCCTCAAACACATCTCTGTGATAATGCTATCAGATCAAGATTTACTCCACCTTATTTGAAGTAATTGTTATTATTAAATTGCCACTGCACTGATGAACATCTCGAACTCAGATGAATTAATATTAGATCAAGTTTATTTAAATTAGTAAATAAATAAATAAATAGTTTTTAAAAGCTTAAAATTTAAATAAACCAAATACAAATTTGGCACAAGTTACACCCTACCTAAAAAAAACGTGTAATTTGCCTTTTCATACATCTTCTCAAACATAAAAAAAGGTGCTTTACTTGTACAAATTAAGTTTGGTATAAGATGAATAGATACATAAGAATTGCTATGTATGTAAATTTCCTAGTAGTTTATTGTTAAACAAGCCACTTATTAAATGCTTAATAATAAATTCAATGATAAATCATACATAACATTCCATTTTAATAAAATTTAATTAATTAGAGTTACATTATTATGTGTTTAATATTAGTCATATTAGTACTAATTATTTATTACAAATTTATCGTACAATCATAGTTTTTAGCTTTAATTAGTTATCATTGCTTAAATACATAATATATTTATCAATTTTAAAAGCATATTAATTACATATATCTTTTATTTTTTTTATTTTCCACAAATCCAATACATAATTACTTCATGAAATAACTTTCATCCAAATTAAGCTCGATTTTATTTTTTTTATATTTTATTTTTTGAAATATATTTTATTTTCTTTAGCAAATATATATTTTAAGTTAATGTAATTGTTTATTCTAAAATTTCAATGAACTAATTTAACTCGCACAATATTTGATTATAAGAAGACTTTTTCATTAATTGTACACCAATTTAATTAATTCATAAAAAATAATTAAATATTAATTATAAATTCATTCAATTTATTGCTTATTAAGAATTATAAAACTATTTGTTAAAAACTTCATATGAAAAGCATAATATTCATTCAAACTTTTAATTTATTTAATAACTTGTTGTAAGAACCATTCAATTAATTTGAATAAGTGCAAACCTAATGCAATCATTCAAAATTTAAAGAAGATAAATATAAACATATAAATGATAATGCACCGAATATGAACAACTCATAATATGAAACCAACGAAGTTCAATTCATGTCATACTCAGGTTCAATTACAGGCTTAAAGCACTATCATCCATAAATTGTGTTGCATGATTTATTGGGAAACAAAATTTATAAAAATTCAGAAAGCTAGTCACAGAATAAGGAGAAAAATTTGCGTACGTAAGACATTTGCAGAGTTGCGTACATCAAAGGTTATTCAGATGGTAGGTTACAGAGATGTTACAGGGGAGGTATCTAACAAAATGTGAGCTTGGTCTGTTTGCGTACATCAGAGGTTATTCAGATGATAGGTTACAGAGATGTTACAGGGGAGGGGAGGTATCTAACAAAATGTGAGCTTGGTCTGTGAAATCAGATAATGGCAATGACTGCACAATGTTAAACGACTGCATTTACTCTTATTCAATGCACATACATACAACACAGCTACCATTTTAGCTGGTTACTTGTATTGAATCACAATTACAACATAGATAATTTACATCATAAAATATTTCAATAGAAAAATCAGTATAAATTATGCAACCACCATCCTAAGCAAAGAGATTGTCCAGCTTCAACAAATTTATGCACACAGATCCATCTCCTCTGAATAACCATCTCACTGACAGAATTGTGTGTCCTTTTCCTATATTGCAAAATTGAGATGAGCGTCATTCACTTTCCCAAGAAAGCATGGCATTACAATTTGGATATCATAGTGATTTCCCTACAAAGTATGAGCTTTTCAAAAAGTAATTGAAAATAAGGGGGATTTATATACATAACAGTCAAAACCAACAAAGATTACATGCTTCACACCCAAACTTCAATATTTACATCCTTAGCACCCCAAACATATATAAAATACAAATTAACACCCCATTGTTAAAATCCTAACCTCGTCGTCTCCCGTTCGCCTAGAAGCTTGCTGCACCGTCTACCTGCTGGCTTAACAGCAATGGCAAGGGAGCTCTTTGGGAATTAGAGAAGCTAGTGGTCCCGAAGTTGGGTGGGGGGAAGCGGGAGAAAAATGAGGAGAAAGATGGTAGCAGGGTAGGAGGAGAAAGATGGGGTTTCAGAGGTCAATGGTTTTGGGTGGTAGCAGAGTAGGAGGAGAAAGATGGGGTTTCAGAGGTCTTTCCCGTCGTTCTGGACCTGACGAGTGTAACGCTGCGATCCTGTCGCTACCTTCTCTTCCAGGTTCGACGGATTTATAGTTGTGATCCCGTTGCTGCCTTCCCTTCCAGCGAGCTCAATTGAATCTCAGGCAGACGGAGAATGTGTCTGGCAAGATCGTCTAAAATTGTTAACAGGGTGCTCGACGATGTAAACATTGAAGATTGGGTGTGAGATATACAATATTAATAATACTGAGTGCTATGTAAGTAAATTTCCTTTAAAATAAGTAAGGGGCATTTACATACCATCCAACATCTATATATTTACATATCAAACACCTATACGTTACATTTTACATTCATACCACACAAATCTTCCATATCACATCAAAATATCACTACTTCAGGTTTCAAAAAGTGAAACACATATTTTCATGAGCTGGCATAAATGTAAAAAATGAAGTTTAGGTGTTAGATATTTAAATATATACGAATTGAGTAGCATGAATGCAAGTCTTCCAATAAATAAATCAATGAAAAGAATCAAACTCACATGTAAGATTCTAATAGACAGAATTTGGTAAAAGTTCATCTCCTCATTAAAAGAACTCTTACTAGAATTCAAAAAACTAATGATATAGATATTTTTCCTCATGCCTATCCTAACCAAGCAGGAAATTAGTAAATAACCAACGTACCTCCTCATGCGTATCGCCACCAAGCGGGAAATTTGTAACCAATGTACCTAATCAAAGTAAACTGAGGGAGAAACAAAATCTTCCTTCTGCTTCTGCTTAAGTTTAGAATACAAAAATTGATATGCGCAACTTGTATAATATTGGTGTATGCCATTGGAGTAGCTTGAAATAGCCAAAACCACCAAAACATTAGCTCATTGCTGCTCGCCCGGGACCGCGTGGCATTTTCTTTGATGAAGCTGAAATTAGTAAAGAAGGTTAGAAAACACAAATGGCGCACGATTAATTTTAGTTAAAAAACTGAGAAAGCAGAATGATATCCCTACAATCTTCAACGTCTTTTAACTGGTAATAATGGGGAGCAATTTCAACCAACCACTCTGGCTTCAACTCAGTAACCTACATAAAATGATAACATGGAGAGAACATAAATTTAAGAAAGATTTACATGCAAACCACTCAATTTCAATGTACTTATATATGTAACATGCAAACTTTAATTTTTACATAAATGCCACCTTATGCATAAAAATCTGTATTTCACTTTGTAAAAGGTAAAATGCTGCTATTTATGATGTGATATGAAAATTTTGGGCGGGTGTACATGTAATAAGTAAAGTATGTAAATACATAGGAATCGCGCGGAATGTATTAAATGCCTCTAAATTTAATAAGTCTTAGGAATGCGCAAAGCATCACTCAATACCTGTCGCATGTATTCTTTGGTGGTAAGCACAAGTTCATGGTAAATAACCCACCGAGGCAATTCCTACACAAAAGGGAAGAAAAAATTTTATTTTATTTTTCGAGAACTAAAGACAAAAATAAAAATTATTTACTAAGAAAAATGGATTGGTGAGAATGCAAGGCAGGCTACTTGCCTGTGCCAGGCCTGAGCTTGGATGTATGTGAACTGTTTGTGGATTTTTAATAGTTCGGTACGCACCAGTCTTCTGGAGCCTTGCAGCATGGTGGAAAAAACCTGAAATGAGATTAGATATTACTAATCATGCATAAAAAATAGAAGAAATCAACAGAATCAGAACAAAACTGTATTACCAGATGTTATAGCTTTCTTGATTGAATCCAAATTGGACGGATTTGATACAACCTCAATCTCAACTTTTTCCAAGAGACCCTCTAACTGGTCTCTAATATCTCTGGCCCGTTTCATACTGCGAACCTAGTTGCAATTTTC